TGGGTAAAAGTTTATAGGATCCCTTACAAATAATTATTACGCGTTCACGAGGGAAGACATTTTTCTGAACGCGAAAGAAGATAAGGATCTTCTTTCATTTTTATATCAGAAGAGGGTTAATTTTCTATAAAAGTTAAACATCGCAGAATTTCATTGAGAATAAACGCTAAACAAGCTTTAATTAAAATCAACCCTTGTTTTCACGCTGAATTCCTAATGAGTTGTTAGATTATCGTGTAGAAGGAGAATATGATCTCTAACGACTACATTTGTGTCCTATTTTCGGTGATATATTTCATTGTTTGCGTCTTCTTTTGCACTTTACTTCTGACATAAAATCTATAGCGTTGTTTACCACTTTACTGGAGCCTTGCTGGGCAGATCGCGAAATTTTAATTGAAAACCGTTCTACCGCAACATTTCTAAGGTTTCTTTTTTATTCCGCAGTGAAAATTAGTTAAATAAATAATCCGTTCCTCGTATAGGAAAAGGAACAAAATGTTTACCTCATACTTTCTTTACTTCGGTGGCATTGCCAAAATCAATCGGCAAGCAAACGTACAAAAATTCTGAAATTTGGTCCCCTGAGAATCACTACCGAGGTTATATGCTCTATATTTTTAAAACGTAGGCTCCTGGGAAATCTGTACAGAGTAAGATATTATATAATATGAGATTGACCTTACCTAGATTTTAAGAACGAAATAAAAAGACACATGTCGTTTAATGTAGTTTTTAAAAAGAATTCAATTATGTCGCGCACGTAAAAAATACTTTGGATTGGAGCAGTTGGTCTCTCTTTTCGTTATTTTCAAATTAAAGCGACGATTAGAGAAATGCATCGAAATTCTGGTGGGCTTTTGGATAAATACCAAGTACCTATCTCTTTGTATAATCGTACAGTAAAATATGTCGGGGCAACTTATATAATTCTGGAATTTTTGTCTCTCCCTCTCGTTTCATTTTCATTAAAAGAGAGCGCAGATTTCTTGTGTAGGAAATGAGTTTGAGAGGCACGTAAATTTCCCGCAATTGAAATTTTGGAGAAAACACCTCTCTGGATTATTAGAGCGTCTGTTTTTTAACGAACCATTAAACTTACAGCCACGCCTATTTTCCGGCAATAAAATTTGTACGCAGATTCGCGCGATACAAGTGTATCTTACCGTAAAGTGGATGCTTCAATTAATAATTTTGTATTTCAATATTTAAATTATTACAATGTAAAGATGCTTAATGAAAGTAAATGCATTGGTGCAAACATGTGCAGATAATACATTCACCCCCATTCCTCTAAAATTCGCTTCAGGAATATTCACCCAAGGGCCGTAGCCAGGGAGGTGCCTGACACTCTCTGGATATTAAGTGGCACCCTCTGACCGATCAGAATCGTAAAATAAAAATGTGTACAATAGTGCTATTTTTGTACATTGTAAATTAATTATCACAAATATACAATATTATTGTTGTTCATAATTATTACAATAAAATTGAATAAAAATGATTATTCTTGATAATTATAATACCTACATACTACATTTTGTAGGATGAGTACAATAATGGTTATTAGAATTATGCAATTTGATTCAAAAGTAACAAGTTTAAATAACTCAGATTCAGTCATATCGGAAATCTGAAGTTATGGACATTCTAGCTCTAGGCTTGTTGCTTGCTTGACAAGTTGGCAACATCGCTGATTACATTCGAAAAGGAAAGAACTAAAAATATAGACATGAACACACTTCTAAGAGAATTTCATAATGCCAAAGAGAGAAGGTTGCATCTATTTTAATGAATATATTCCAGCTTTTTTCTATTGTTATAAATAAATTGTATTAGATAAACTATATTTATAATCTAATATTTTTATGTATGCTTAAATATTGATTCGATTGACTTATATTTATGTTACGTTTATTTTATGTTACATCGTTTGTTTTTTTTTAATATATAATATATATTGGATAAAATTAGTTTTTTTTAATATATTTTTTGCTTTTTTGACAAACAAGTCTCTCGAGACTTCATTTAATAATAATAATAATAATCATGTCGTTTATTAAATCACGCTAATCATATAAGGTAACAAGAATATCTTAATAATAAAATGTACAAGTGCGCAATTTAAAAGGGCGAAGTTCAGATGCTAACGGGAAATCCATTAGCCCTGCTCTTCCACTTAACCCTTTGCATTGTAGAAATTAAATTAAATTATACGTGAAGTTAATTATGTGAATATAAAAAAAGAAAAGAATTTACAATTATAACTAGTATAAGCGTGCTTGCTTATATAGTGTTGACCATTATAGGTATATATAAACTTATAAAATGTATTCTGAAGAAAATTTGAAACAATTTGGGATTCTTATTAATCTTATGTAAGAAGAACGACAAAGGAAAATAACAAGTAAATAAGTAAGTGGAAGAGTAATAGTAGAAGTAAAGAAGTAAAGTATTAGATAAGAAATAAATAACGACTTCATCACACGCTACGAGGAACTTTGACATTTTAGCAGGAAAGTGTACAGGTTTTTTTTGAAGATGTTGATAGCCATATTTTTTAAGACACCAGGT